ATTATTAAGAAAAAAAGATATTAATAATAATAATATATGTATGTATATATTATTAATTAAAATATATTAACAATTTATAATATTATTTATATTAATATAATTTATAATTGTATGATCAATTTATAATTTTATACTAATGAATTAAAAAATTATTAAGAAAAAAAGATATTAATAATAATAATATATGTATGTATATATTATTAATTAAAATATATTAATAATTGAATTATATTTATAATTTATAATACTATTTATAATTTTATGATCAATTTATAATTTTATACTAATGAATTAAAAAATTTTGTTTACTAATTAATAGGATGAGCATGTTGCCGAGTTTGAGGGTTCTGGACCCCGACACACGTATAGTCGTTGTGTGGATGCTTCCGCTCGGCGGGAGATGGAGGAGAGGCGTCGTGAGGCTCTCCTGGTACAGCTTGGGCAGACTGGCGGTTTGAGACCTCCCGTTCGTCCGATACAGATCGGTCAACAGTCAGGGCCACTCATTCCTGCCACTTCGGGAGGTCCCCCTTTGATACAGAGTGGTCAGCAGTTCGGTCAGCAGTCCGGCTCAGTCATGGCTGGCAGTTCGGGAAGTCTCGTTCGTCCAATACAGAGTGGTCAGCAGTCTGGGCCACTTGTACCTGCCAGTTCGGGACGTCTCCCTCGGATACGTATCACTCGGTCGCAGGGTTATTCTTCTGAGTCGGCAGTCAGAACTCCGGCGAATGATGATGATGATGATGATGATGATGATGATGATGATGATGATGGTGGTGGTGATGGGGATGACGAGACATTTGACTCCGACTCTGTGGCAGCTGAGCAGGACATTGTATCTCCTGACCCACAGGCACAGCCAGAGCGGCCACAGGGTCCTGCACATGCAGCCGGTGCAGGTAAAAGACTCGGTGGAGTTAATCCTCCACGACAGGGTGGGGGTCGTTTTGCGGGCGCTGGATCTTCCTCAAGTAAATGATTTACGTATTTATTGTTGTTTACCATTATATGTTTTCTTATTAAATAATTGATACGGTCAGTCACAATATGTCGTATATATATTGATTGTTCTATTCTAATACAAGTGCGAGTAGCAAACGGCCGAAGAATGACACCTGGATCGTTACAGCCCCAGTGCCCGGTGGCCCCGTTGACGGGAGTGTTATCCCTAGTCTTCTAGGGCACGTAGCCTCCCGTATGTGGAATGGAGAGTTCAGAGGCATGCTTAAATGCCAAAACAGGCAGGGCGCGCACGGTGAATTGAGGGGCTGGCTCGAAACGATGGTCTAGGATGCACGTGATATGATCGTTCAGACCGGGCTGTCACATTTGGCATCCAGCATGCATACTCACGTCGACACTCCACTCATTTCTGCATTTGTGGAGCGCTGGCAGCCGGATACCAACTCGTTTCACCTGCCTTTTGGTGAAATGAGTATCATGCTGCACGACGTGAGGGCCATTTTGGGTGTTCCTGTGGATGCAGCGGTTGTGAGTGTGGACCCCGACGGCCTGACCTGCCAGGCGAACTGCATGGAGATTCTCGGGGTGGACCAGAGTCATCTGATGACGCGTCTTTGGGATCACGGGTCTGTGACAAATCAAGCCGTTTTTGAAGCATTGATAAAGAATGGCGCAGCTCGGTCGGCTGAGCATGTGGCTATTGGCTGGTTGTGGGTGCTGCTCGCTACCACCTTGTTTGTGGACAAGAGTGGTAACAGGGTCAGTCCCAAACTCCTGCACGAGATGATGGACAAGGTACGGGAAGTTGGGACTTACTCTTGGGTATTGCCAGCAGGGGGGACTCACAGGGAGTGTCTGGCTGTTTGACTCTCATGCAGTCCTGGATATACGAGTACTTCCCCACCTTCCGACCCCAGCGAGCGCGTATGATCCCCGAGCCTGGCTGTGTCGCCCGATCAGCCTCGTGGAGCGTGGCGGTGACGGAGAGGTCAGATGCGCGCCTCAAAGCTTTCCGTAGGCAGCTTGACATTCTCACCGCCGCCGAGGTGCGTCAAGTTATTTTATTTACATTTAGTTGAAAGTTATTTGGAATAATTGAATTGTTTCAATAAATGTTTTTATGCAATTGTGAACAGGTGAACTGGCTGCCCTACGACCGTCGGCCACATGACATCGAGCCTAGGACCCTTTATAACGGATGCCTTAGGTACCGGGATATTGTGGAGCCGTACATGCCTCTGCGGTGGTTGCGTCAGTTGGGCTACGTGCAGACTGTCCCTCCCCGCATAGATTGTCCGCTCAAGGCAGTCCGTGCCTGAAACTCTAGGTTGTACAGGGTTGAGCATGCGGATACTACTGCAGTGGATCACTGGGACCAGTTCCCGCAGCTGCATTCTATAAACTTGACTCATTGTACTCCGACCACCGCAGATGATCCAGGGGAGGCCCATGAGCAGTACCAGCAATGGTACGATCAGTTTTCTCATCCTAGACTCTTGCCTGACAGTCTGCCGGACGACGAAGCCGTCCCTTCGCGCGCCAACACCGGTTATGTAGGTCGTTTACGAAATCTTAGTTATTGTGCTTTCATTACAATAGTAAGTCGTTTTTTAATATATATATGTGATAATATTTTTACTTCTGCTTTTATGTGTAGTGGGTGAGTCGGTTATTCTCCGCATCATCAGACCTCCTGCGGGATTTCGAGGTTGTTGATCCTGCTGTGGCGGCGCGTCATGCAGATACGCTGGCCCTAATTAAGGCGGATTGGGAAAGGGCGCAGCGTTGATGTAATAAATATATATTTTTTATTTTATTTTGGATTTTGTTGTACGATGAAATGTTATTTGAATTGTTTTTTCTTTTTCTTTTTTTTTTACTTGTTGTTGCTTCATTTTATTTTCATTTATTTCCAAATGTTATACCACATTCCAACCCAAAAATTCCATAATATCACGTGAAACGGTAAATACTGTCAAATATCACAATATATCGATCATAATGCAGATTAATATAATGAATGTCATCACGCAACAAACATAAGTCGAATATCATAATATATCAAACTCCAGTTCCTCTACGAATATGCCGCCATTACTCGATCCTTTCAAACTCCAGTTCCTCTACGAATATGCCGCCAATACTCGATCCTTGTCTGATACTGATCATCCCATCCTGCAACCGTCACATCTCGGAATGTCCGCCAAAGGTTACACATAGGCGGTAATGGATAATCAGATGACAGATTCAGACGAATGAAGTGTTTGTAAGAACCAAGATGACCTATGGCGATCTCGCGGTCAGGTCTTGTAGCCGTGGATGGTGCGCTCAACGGCAAAAATGTCATGCTATTGAAATCGATATTGTCATTTTTGTCACCACTGCCTAACAACACGACAAGTACATTAAATAGTGTAGCAATAGCAAAGAAGTCACCTACAACTTCTATCCAATGCTCCTCGTTACAAGGCCCCCCCTCCCATCTTATCCGATCGAGTGCTCTGTCGGTTTCATAGTAAAACACAGGATCGTACAACTGTCTGTTGGCTGCAATCTCATTTGCAATATTCCTTCTTACCACTGGCCACCTCAACTGGTTCATGTGCATGTAACTCGCAACCACCCGAAATCCGCAGTTCCCATCCGGCGTCACATCCAGATAGCTCTCTACGTAAGGGTGGATTACGTAGGGAATT